AATTTAGGATGACCTAAAGAGACCTTCAAATCAAAAGTATGTGGTTGTAAATCTTCATTCAGGGAGTTAAGAAGCTTTATAATAGTTTAAACATTAATTGTGAAATCATGACTTTTTCCATTCCCTTGGCATGTTGCACTTCTCCCTACATGGTCAGGCTCAAACCTACTCTTAGTGTCTCTTTAGTAAGCACACTTGCACCCACATCTTATGCCCTGGCACACTAAAACACATGCTCTTCTCTGTATTGGATACATACTTTCATGCCTCTATGTCTGTGGCTGGGCCATTGCTGTTTTTTCTCTGATGCCATTTCTTCTCAAGTTGGTGAAATCATTATTCAAGGCCTGGTTCAAATGCTGTCCTTGGTCTCCACCCTAAACACTCTGAGGAAGACTTGATTCTTCTTATTTCTATACCTTCAGGACCTTTGTGGTAGTACCTAGCACAGCACATTGTTTTACAGTTTAGCTCTTCTTTCCCAACTAACTTATCGGTGCCTTGAAGATAAAGTTTATCTGGTATTCATCCTTGCATCTCCAGATGCTTAATGCATTAGTAAGTGGTGAAGTAAAGTTTAAACTGATTAGTCCATGTATCTTCTAATATTTAAATGGTGTATTATATCATTTGTGGCCAGGATCAACTGCCTGTAGTCACCAGCAAAGTGTACAATGCAGTAGCAAACCTTTGGAAACCATGGCTAAATGAAGAAGCTATCAGTACCTTAAGGAAAGGTAAGTGAAAGACTTACTCATCCATATTTTGCCTTCATTTTTATTTATGTTGTTTAGACTTAAATCTTTAATGTTTGCTTGGGTGTGCCAACTCCAGAGAGCCTCTAGTTTCCCTGGAGAATGGTGAGTAGAAACATCGCTTTGGGACACCTGTTGTGAACCTGTTTATCTTGTAGGGAGTTCTTCCCATTTTTTTCCCACCCTTAATTAGGTGTGTTCACATGAAACAAAAGCTGAACTTTGGATTTGAATGTAATTAAAAGTATATCTTTATAATTAGCAAACTGATTGAAAAGAGAGAATGGACATTAACTTTTAATCAAACAGGCACAATTTTATAAAACAAACCTCTGGTAAAGTGATGATAGGTCAGCTTTTAAAATGGAGGTTGAGATGCTTGGAATGGTGGGGCATAAGCAGTGCTCAGTAAGGCCTTCCCTGGGTGCTGTCTACAAAACTCCTGCTTCAGAAGCTCACAAGCCCTCACTAGGCAAATCCCTGATGTTTTGTGAGCTTAATGGAGGTGCCCAGCTGCTAAACTAAAACCTTGGTGTTTTTTAAATTTTCAGACAAATATTAAGTCAATGTCTGAAATTCTCTCAGATTTTTTTTTTAAGTCTTCCCTAGAGTGTCAGGGCAGAGAGCGTTTGAACCAGGACTTGAACCTAAATCTTTGGCTCTTACCCTGTTTTATTTGTTTGCTAGTACTCAGAACATCACAGAATAATATATTTGAGACCTCCTGCCTTAGAATTAAGTAATGATCTTGATTAATCTAGGGAACTACATCTAGTGCATGAGTGGTGCAAACAGTTAACGTGCTCTGCGGCTAACTGAAAGGTTTGGGGTTTGAGTGCAACCAGAGGTGCTTTGGAAGAAAGACCTGGCAGTCTACTTCTGAAAAATCAGCCATTCAAAACCCTGTGGAGCACAGTTCTACTCTGAGACATCACACATGAGGTTGTCATGAGTTGGAGTTAACTCAGTGGCACCTGGTACTGGTAATGTTTAGTCCTAGACGCCTATACCTTTAAGACACGTGGAAAGCTTGTGTAAGTTGCAGAGAGAGCAACAAAAATGGTGAGAGGGCCTAAAGAGACCTTCTGGACTGTAAGGAAGCTCAGCGAGAGAGAAGCAGGCAGGAAAGATCTGATAAATGGCATGCTGACCCTAAGGAAAGCCATATAAGTTTCAGAGTGATGAATTTAGGACAGTTTTCCAGTTAAACATTGGATTACATCTATTATTGTTGAAAGTCTTAAAAGACTTTCTGTGAAAGTTTTAAACGCAAAAGTGGTTTTATGCAGAGAGGCCCAGCCTGAAGGCCCTAAAACTTTGCTATCCCCCAGCCCTAGTGAGAACTGTTGTAATCTCCTACAACTAAGGTCAGAAGGGAAGTTATTCTCAAGTAACTTCCACCAGATTCAAAGCTCTCTGCCCTGCTGCAGCCATAGTAAGAATAATAAACTGACATGACTACAGGAAAGAACAAAGGAAGTTAAAGAGGCATTGATCAGTCATGTTTAAAAGCTAAGAAAAGGCCTGGTTAGTGAGCAGGCCGAGGGCAAAGAAAGCAGGGCCTAGATCTCAGTGGCTAGCTCCCCAACTACCATCGCAGCAGATCCTTGGTGGTTCTGTTACCACTGGGACATAGGCTGCCTGGAGTTATGCCTTTAAGCTTCCTCTCCACTAAAACTGTAGCAGTTCTGGCGTATCTGCTATTTCTTCCTCAGTAGTCTCTGGCAAACTCCAATGGGAACATATTCCCATTCTCTGGATTTTTAGATTTCACAATATCTCTCATCTTGTTTTTGTTGTTGTTAGCTGCAATTGAGTTGGCCCCTGACTCATGGTGACCCCGTGTGTTACAGAATAGAACTGCTCCATAGGGTTTTCTTGGTTGTAGTCTTTATGGAAGCAGTTCTCCAGGTCTTTCTTCCATGGAGCTGCTGGGTGGGTTTGGACCATCAACCTTTAGGTTAACAGCTGACTGCAAACTGCTTGGGCCATCCGGGCTCCTTTCTCTCGTCTTAACTCCCCAATAATACAAAAGTAGGAGTTGCTATATTAATCTTTTTTTAAATAAAATTCAGTAACTCATCACCTAATGCTAAAACATTTAATTCTCCTCTCATCCGAATACCTTAATATGCAGAAATGACATATTGGACCTGACACATAGTAGGTTTAATAAATGTTTGTTAAATCTGATTCTAATCAAATGATGGCCTATGAATGCGCAAACAAAAACATGAGTAATAAGTACAGTTTTCCTGACTGGATTGCAAATCTTAATTAATAATTTGTATTCACAATGTCTGTCTGTATGTGTGCGTTTTCCTAAAATGTGTTTTGAATTTGTTTTTATAGGTGGCTTTTATTCACAGAAGGTTACCACTAATTCAAGCCTTAGAATCATCAGTCTAAACACAAACTTGTACTACAGCTCAAACATTGTGACCCTGAACAAGACTGACCCAGCAAATCAGTTTGAATGGCTAGAAAATACATTGAACAACTCTTGGCAAAATAAGGAAAAGGTAGATCACATCGACCAGAATGATCAGGGGATAAACAGAGGGCTAAATAGGTGTATTTACTGAACTTGGAGGAGGGCTAGGTATTTATAAAAGGAAAGTATTATAATTTGAAGATGGTTTCATTTGAAACACTTTACGCCTTCTCTCTATCATTGTTTTGTCTTGCTTTTGATGCTTTGAAGATTATTTGGCATCCCTAAGTATAAAGAGAGGCCTATTTTAAAATTTGTGATCAAGGTCATAGTTATATTGTCAACAGTGTAGTTTAAATGAGACAAGTGCAAATACAGTGACCTTAAAATTTTTCTAATTTTGTCTCTTTTTTGTAATAAATAGGAAGGATGGTACATTTACTTTCTAGATTTCAGTTAATATATGTACTTTCAATCGTGGGCATCCAGATGTCATTTAGCTATGATGAATGTGCAAAACAATTCTCATCAGTGCTTGTGTTTCTTTTTCCAGGTTTACCTCATAGCACATATCCCAGTAGGGTATCTGCCCTTTTCAAGGAACACCACAGCAATGAGAGAATACTATAATGAGAAATTGATAGATATTTTTAGAAAATACAGCGATGTCATTGCAGGACAATTTTATGGACACACGCACAGAGATAGCATTATGGTTCTTTCAGATAAAAAAGGTAATGTGATATTCTGTTTGAATCTCTCCAGTCTAAGATGCTCAAGCATAGCAGGGAAGATCCAGTAAATTAAAAGTTCCATTATATCAAATTGCCAGCACCAGCCTTTTCTGAATTATATAGTTGCATGGTAAGTGTCTAATCATAAGATTAGGCCTCCAATTGGGTTTCTTCATCAAACGTTCCTATTAGCTCCTTAGGGCCAGCATCATTTAATTGTAGTCAACAAAAACCTCTGAAGCTTTCAGTTCATTCAAATTTTGTTTTAGACCCTTGAGTTAGAGTAATATTACTGCTTGTTACTTACCTGCTAGACTGAAGTTTTTTTGTTTTTTTGACTTGTTTTACTTCTAAGAATTTAAAAAGCCAAGCACAATTTATATCAATAGTTTGAAATAAAATATATTAAGCTCCTACAAAGAATAAATTTTAGATTGTCTACTGTTTTGAAACATTACTTCTGTATGAGGGCAGAAAACAGAGTGAACAAAATAAGAGTTCGGCTTCTATACTAGTCAGGATAAAAATTAGTACGTAGTTTTTCAGTAATTGGATAAATTTTCAAAAATATTATACCTCTTTCATATAGAATCAATAGGCTTCATAAAATGGCATTTTTAAAATGCATTTAACAGCTTTTTTACTCAGAAAGATATTTAGTCTTATAAAAATGCACATATATGAATGTGTTTATATGTATATATACACATATTTTATAGATATATAAAAGAAAGTGACACTGCAATTGAATTCTTATGTAATTACTGGAATACTGTTCTTGGTAGAGATGCAGAGCAAACGAGCTTTGTATTGTGTGTGTATGTGTGCACAAAATATTTCAAATATATAAGAGCGTAGAGAAGGATACAAAAAATTACCATGTGCCCATCTCTAATTTAACACCTATCAAGATTTTGCGCATTTGCTTTATCTATTTTAAAGTAAACCTCAAACATCAGGTATTTTCAGCCTGCATACTTCTATGTTGTTGTTGTTCTGTGCCGTCGAGTCGGTTCTAACTCACAGCGACCCTGTCAACAACAGAATGAAACACTGCCCAGTCCTGTGCCATCCTTATGATCGTTGTTATGCTTGTGCCCATTCTTCAGCCACTGTGTCAGTCCATCTTGTTGAGGGTCTTCCTCTTTTTCGCTGACCCTGTACTTTACCAAGCATGATGTCCTTTTCCAGGGACTAATCTCTCCTGACAACTTGTCCAAAATATGTAAGACGTAGTCTCGCCATCCTTGCTTCTAAGGAGCATTCTTGTATATGCATTGCTAAAATATATAGACATTAACTTACATAACAAAAGAAACAATAATTATTTGGTATTATCTAATACCAGTCCATAGTAAAAATTCCTCAATTTTCTCAGAGATGTCTCTTTACAATTGTTTCTTGTCAATCAAGATCCATCAATGTTCATACATAATTTGGCTATGTCTTTTAATCTCTTAATTTGAAACTTGTTCATATTTTTAGTATAGTTAAATTCAGTTTTTTTTTTAAATATATATATATGTTTTGTCCAGGAAGGCCAGTAAATTCTTTATTTGTGGCTCCTGCTGTTACTCCAGTGAGGAGTGTTCTACAAAAGGAAACCAACAATCCTGGCGTCAGACTATTTCAGTATGATCCTCGTGATTATCAATTACTGGTAGGTTGGCACAATTTTAGAATTGACTTCATATATATGCATGTCTTTGCAGTTTCCGTTAGTTTAGTTGAATGTTTCTAAGCGTAGCTATGTCCACTGTACCAATCCATCTTGTTGAGGGTCTTCCCCTCTTTTGCTGACCTTATATTTTACCAAGCATGCTGTCCTTCTGCAGGGAATGGTCCCTCCTGATAAGATGTCCCAAGTAAGTGAGATGAAGTCTCGCCGTCCTCGCTTCTAAGGAACAATCTGGCTGTACTTCTTCCAATACAGATTTGTTCGTTCTTCTGGCGGTTAATGGCATATTCAATATTCTTTGCCAACACCATAATTCAAAGGCATCAATTCTTCTGCAGTCTTCGTTATTCATTGTCCAGCTTTCTCATGCATAAGATGCGACTGAAAATATTATGGCTTGGGTCAGGTGTACGTTAGCCCTCAAAGTGACATCTTCACTTTTTAGCCCTTTAAAGAGGTCTTTTGCAGCAGATTTGCCCAATGCAATAGGTCTTTTGATTTCTTGACTGCTGCTTCCATGGGTGTTGGTTGTGGATCCAAGTCAAATGAAATCCTTGACAACTTCAGTCTTTTCCCCATTTGTCATAATGTTGCTTACTGGTCCAGTTGTGATGATTTTTATTTTCTTTATGTTGAGGTGTAATCCATACTGAAGGCTGTAGTGTTTGATCTTCATCAGTAAGTATTTCAAGTCCTCTATGCTTTCAGCAAACAAGGTTGTGTCATCTGCATATTGCAGGTTGTTAATGAGTATTCCTCCAATCCTTATGCTGCATTCTTCTTCATATAGTCAAGCTTCTTGGATTATTTGCTCAGCATTCAGATTAAATAAGTATGGTGAAAGGATACAACCCTGACACACACCCTTCCTGATGTTAAACCATGCAGTATCGCCTTGTTCTGCTGGAATGACTGCCTCTACAGGTTCCGCGTGAGCACAATTAAGTGTTCTGGAATTCTCAGTCTTCACAATGTCATCCATATTTTGCTGTGATCCACACTGTCGAATGCCTTTGCATAGTCAATAAAACATAGGTAAACATCTTCCTAGTATTCTCCGCTTTCAGCCAAGATCCATCTGACATCAGCTATGATATCCCTCATTCCATGTTCTCTTCTGTTTCCAGCTTGAATTTCTGGCAGTTCCCTGTTGATGTATAGCTGCAACTATTTTTATATTATTTTCTGCAATATTTTACTTGCATAGCTATATGAGTTTTATTTTATAGCGAAATCTCAGAATTTCTTTATTCTTTTTGATGTTTGGAATATTTGTCAGCACTTTCTAAGTGTGGGCTTATGAAGTTAACCTTTGAGAGGCTGTGTCTGTGTCAGGACTTCAGATTTATTTAGATTGCACCCAATTTGGGCCCTGTCTGTGGACTTGTGTACATGTTGAAACTTTTCACTAGGCCATGTTGTTGTTGCTGTTGAGTTGATTCCGACTTATGGCAACCCTACGGGTGCTGAGTGGAACTTCTCTATAGGGTTGTTAAGGCCATGAACTTTCAGAAAAGGATCGCCAGTCCTGTCTTCTGAGACCTCTCTAGGTGGGTTTGAGCTGTCAACCTTTCAGCTAGTAGTCGAGCACTTAGGTGTTTGCACCACCCAGGGACTCCATTACTAAGCTATAACCAAAACCAAACCCATTGCTGTCAAGTCGATTCTGATTTATAGCATCCCTATAGGTCAGGTAGAACTGTCCATTGGGTTTCCAAGCCTATAATCTTTATGGAGGAAACCCTGGTAGCGTAGTGGTTAAGAGGTCGGCTGCTAACCAAAATGTGGGCAGTTCAAATCCACCAGGTGCTCCTTGGAAACCATATGGGGCAGTTCTACTCTTTCCTACTCTGTCATAGGGTTGCTATGAGTTGGAATTGACTCGATAGCAACGTGTAATCTTTATGGAAGCAGAGTGCTACATCTTTCTCCTGCAGAGGGCCTGGTGGTTTCAAACCACTAGTCTTTCAGTTAACAGCTGAGCACTTAACCACTCACCCCCCCCAAAAAAAAAAAACAAAAAACAAAACTCAAACCCATTGCTATCAAGTTAATTCTGACTCATAGTGACCCTATGGGACAGAGTAGAACTGCCCTGTAGGGTTTCCAAGGAGCGACTGGTAGAATTAAACTGCCAAACTTTTGATTAGCAGCCAAACGCTTAACTGCTGTGCCACCAGGGCCCCACTGCACCACAAGGGTTACACTTCACAAGAACATAACTGTTAAAAAGAGTGCAGGCTCTAGAACCATATTCTCTCAAGCGGTTTTACTTAACTTTTCTATGTCCCAGTCTACTTCTGCATAAAATAGGGATTAAAATATTTACTGACTTCATTGAGTTGCTGTGAGGATTAAGATGAGCAAATATATGTAAAACACTTAGGAAAATGCTTAATCTGTAGGAAATGTTAACAAAGAAAATTTAAAAAGAAAATGATATCGTGTTGGACATTTACCTTGAAGAAAAAAGTTCTGTGGAGTATGTACATTGCTCTAAGCTTTAGATCAATTTAGCATCAAAAGGCTAGGCATTTAGCTTATGGATACTTAAGTTTGGGAGACTGCCCCTTTCCATAAATATTATTTGAAAAGAATCCATTACAACTAAAGTTTCTTTTAAGGAGCCCTGGTGGCACAATGGTTAAGTGCTTGGCTGCTAAGTAAAAGTGAGCAGTTCGAACCTACCAGCCACTCTGTGGGAGAAAAGACCTGGTGAGCTGCTTCTGTAAAGATTTAAGCCTAGGAAACCCTATGGGTCAGTTCTACTCTGCCCTGTTGGGTCGGCATGAGTTGGAATTGACTCAACAGCATACAACAACAGTAACAACAACAAAGTCTCTATTGATTTAATTGCATTTTTCCTAGATAAATTTAATAGGATATGACTCTGTTATTCTGTAGAGCATGTTTTCACAAAGGAGCTAGGGCAGGGGAAATCTGGTTTAATCTATAAATATCAAATTAAATGGGGAAATAAGATAATTGACTGATAAACCAGTCTAAAATAATTCTTTTGTAACTATTAGTTACCTATGTTTGGATCTTAACCTCAGATATTTACGTGTGTGTGTGTGTGTGTGTGTGTGTGTGTGTGCACTGACATGGGGAGATGACTCTGGTATAGCACTAAGTAAAATACTTTTTAAAAGTGCAAAACAGTTTGTACAGTATGACTCCATTTTATGAAAAGAAAAAAAGGTAAATTGGTATGGATATTCTAAATATTTATATTCATTTTTGTACATTAAGTCTAAAACAGCACACACTCTGGATGCTGGTAAATGTTTAACATCTGGTTCTCTCGCGGGGGCCAGGAAGCCTTGATTTCTAGTGTTTGCCGATTTCCTTGGTATAAATATGCCTATTACGCTAATTTCAAGCTACCAAAGTAACATCAGGTGACTAACAACTTTCCTGAAAATTTAAAAATTGGCTCTCATGAGCTAGTACAGCCATTACCAGCACAACACTGATTTATACACAACTATTGGATTAAATCGCGCAGCTGCTAACCAAAAGATTGGTGGTTCGAGTCTACCCAGCAGTGCCTTTGAAGAAAGGCCCAGTGGTCTACTGCTGAAAAATCAACCATTGAAAACCTCATGGAGCACAGTTGTACTCTGACACGCATGGGGTCACCGTGAGTCAGAGGTGACTCTCTAGCAACTGGGTTTTGGTTTATTAGCAGTGGTTATCTCTGAGGCGTGTGGCTTTCTATTTTGTACACCCCTCAGGAGATGGTTTGGATTGTTTTCTGTGGTGCCTTTCATGATTGATTGATTGAAAATATGCACAGCAGATCATATACTTATTCAACAATTTGTACACGTACAGTTCAATGACACTGGTTACGTTCTTCAGGTTGTGCATTTTTGCTGTCTCTCCTCATATTATTTTGCCCCCATTGACTTTTACTCACTGCCCCATCAGCTACTCATCTATGCTTTAGAGTTACTTTTGTTAAATTTGATCTGCAGTGGTTAAGAGCTATGGCTGTTAATCAAAAGGTCAGCAGTTTGAATCCACCAGCTGCTCTTGGAAATCCTATGGAACAATTCTGTTCTGTCCTGTAGGGTCACTGAATCGGAATTGACTCGATGGCAACAGATTTGGTTTTTTGGTTTGTATAGATAATTCTTTAAAAGAGTGCAGTGCTCAAGGCCAACATTCTTTACTAATTAGGCTAAATTGTTGTTTAGATTGAAGATGACTTCAGGAGATAATTTCAGTTTAAGGTTCAAAAATTTTCTAAGGACAACATATTTGGGAGTTACCCTAGCCCCAGTGGTCCAGCAAGTCTGGATTCTATAACAAATTTTAAGTTGTCTTCCACATTTCCCCCCTTTTGATCAAGGACTCATCTATTGAGTCCTTGATCAAAACATTCAGTAATGGTAGCTGGGCACCATACAGTTCTTCTGGTCTCATGACAAAGGAGGCAGTAGTTCATGCAAGCAACTAGACCTGCAGTCCAGTTCCTTCTCTGGTTCCTGGGTCTCCATCTTCCACTGCTACTCCAGGTGAATAGAGACTAATTGTTGTGTCTTGGATGGTCACTAGCAAGCTTTTAATACCCCAGGTACTGTGCACCAAACTGGGGGGTAGATCAGAAACTCTAATGCCAGTTGGCTGGATAGTCTCACAGAGATGTGACACTAAGCCTTCTAACCAAGAGAACTAATTCCATGAAGTGTTTGGTTGTACCTAAGTGGTATCAGCAACTGGATCTTCTTTTTTTTTTGTAGTTGTAAAATTATATATAACACATTTGCCATTTCACCCTTTTTCTGGTGTACAACTTAGTGATACTAGTTACATTAGACAAATTGTATAATCACTATGCTTAATCAATGCCAATATTCCCATCACCATAGACATAAACTGACTAGTCCCAAAGAGTGGTTCCCTTTCTCCCTCCCCACTCCCACCCCAGGTAACCACTAATAACCATTGATCTCTATGTATTTGCCTATTCATATCATTTCGTATAGGTGAGGTCATACAGTATTTGTCCTTTTGTGATTGATTTATTTCATTCAGCATAATGTCTTCAAGGTTCGTCCATGTCGTAGCATGCATCGGGACTTGTTTTATCTTTATGGCTGAATAGTATTCCATTGTATTTATGGACCACATTTTGTTTATCCATTCATCTGTTGATGAGCACTTAGGTTGTTCCCACCTTTTTGCTACTGTGAATAGTGCTGCTATGAACATAGGTGTTTTAGGTCCCTAGGGTATATGCCTAGGAGTGGAATTAGTAGGTCATATGATAGTTCTATTTTTAATTTTTTGAGGAGTCACTACACTGTTTTCCACAACAGTTGTACCATTTTACATTCCCACCAGCAATGGATAAGAGTTCTGATCTCGTCAGATCATCACCAATCTTTGTTATTTTCTTTTTTTTAATCATTGCTGTTTTAGTAGGTGTTAGGTGGTCTCTGATTGTAGTTTTGATTTGCATCTCTCTAATGGCTAATGATGCTCAGCATCTTTTCTTGTGTTTATTTGCTGCTTGTGCATCCAATTTGGTGAAGCACTTGTTCATGTCCTTTGCCAGTTTTTTTATTGGGTTATTAGTCTTTTTTTCATTTCTATAAAAAATGCTGTTGGAATTTTGATCAGAATTGCATTGAGTCTGTGATCACTTTGGGTAGTACTGACATTTTCGTAATATTAAGTCTTCCAATGCATGAGCATGGAATGTCTTTCCGTTTATTTAGTTCTGTTTTAGTCTCTTGCAGCAGTGTATTATAGTTTTCATTGTATAAGTCTGTACATCTGTGATTAGGTTTATTCCTAAGTATTTTATTTTTTAGGTGCTACAGCATCACTATGAGTTGGAATCAACTCGATGGCAGTGGGTTTTTTATTGTAAATTGAATTGTTTTCCTGATTTCTTTTTTAGATTTGTCCTTGTTGATATCTAGAAACCCAGCTGTTTTTGTGTGTTCATCTTGTATCCTGCAACTCTGTTGAATTCTTTTATTAGTTCTAGAGGGTTTCTTGTGGATTCTCTGGGCTTTTCTATATATAGAAGTATGTTATCTGCAAATAGAGATAGTTTTACGTCTTCCTTTCCAGTTTGGATACCTTTTACCTCTTTTTTTTTTGCCTTATTGCTGTGGTTAGGACTTCCAGTAGGATATTAAATAGAAGTGGTCATAGCTGGCATCCTTTTCTTATTCCTGTTCTCAAGGGAAGGCTCTCAGTCTTTCTCCATTGAGTATAATGTTGGCTGTTGGTTTTTCATAGGTGCCCTTAATCATGTTGAGGAACTTGCCTTCTTATCTTGTTGAGAGTTTTTATCAGGAAAGGGTGTTGGATTTTGTTGAATGCCTTTTCTGTGTCTGTTGAGATGATCATGGGGTTCTTTTCTTTTTTCTATTAATGCGGTGTATTACATGGATAAATTTTCTGATGTTGACATTTTATTATTTTTAAGAAGTAATGTAGATTTTTTATCAAGAGACTCGTTTATTTAAAACTAATTCTCACTTGTTTTTTAAATGACTGCAACTCTCATTAAAGTTAAGAATGTTACTTAAATCCTAATAATTTTTCATGTTGTGGAATGCTTTATATGCCAGGAAGTGAACCAGGCTTTGTTATTGTTTTTAACTATAGGATATGTTGCAGTATTACCTGAACCTGACAGAAGCTAACATGAAGGGAGAATCCAACTGGAAGCTGGAGTACATCCTGACCCAGGCCTATGACATTAAAGATTTGCAGCCAGAAAGTTTATATGGTTTAGCTAAACAATTTGCAGTCCTAGACAGTAAGCAGTTTATAAAATACTACAATTACTTCTTCGTGAGTTATGCCAGCAGTGCAATTTGTGATGAGAAATGTAAGGCCTTTCAAATTTGTGCAGTTATGAATCTTGATCATGTATCCTATGCAGATTGTCTCAAACAATTTTACATATAGCACAATCACTAGTATTTCAAAGTTTGTGTTCATGGAAAATGTAATATTACTCTGTTTCTGAGATCAGTTTGTGCAAATTTTTATGTAAATCTCTGTGAATTACTGACTGGGAAAGCAGAATTTCTGTCTTTGCTCTATTTTTTTACTATGCCCAAATGTAAATATCTTTAACAATCTAAATTTTTCTGAAATTAAAATGTATTTAAAGTACCTGTTAGTAGAATGATTTTGGGATGTAAATGTCCTAGCTTCCAGGTTATACAATTATATCTAATTTATACGCTTGTAGAAACTGGCATCTGTCCAATAACGCAAATGACTTCTCCTGAGTATGATGGATTATTCTAAATATGATTGTTTTTAGTCTCTTAATTCACTCTTGTTAAAACCTTATGTGTATACTAAGGCTAAAACTGTTTAAATCTCATGTGTAAACTGAGGTTAAAGCTGTTTATGTGTACTATCTACTCATGGGAAAATACTAAGGTCTCATTAGGGCTATCTCCAAGTCTGTAAAACATCATGGGACATACATTGCCTGGTTGCCTTCACTCAGAGTGTGAAGGAGAATCATCGTTAACACTGCTAACTTTTAACAATGTCACCAGTTGTCTTTATTGCAACTGCAATACTAGCAAAGGGCCTAGGACCTTGTACAGAGCCTGGGACTTACTAAATACTTGTTGAAATGAATTGAAATACATGAATGTTTCCCCAAGAAAATATGATAGGATGCAGTGGTGGCATTTTCTTCGTCACAATATCCCAAGAGAGGATAAAAGGAGCTTTTCATCCCCCCATTAGGATTGTTTTTAGGGCTTTCCCATAGCCCAAGCTGTCCTCTGCTTCCCAGCTAACTGGAAGAATTAAAATAGAAGAGAGAAGGGGCAGGCTGAGGGATAAAGGGGAGGAGAAGACAGCGTACCCCAATGTTTGGCTTGCTGGAGAAGACATACAATCAGCAACCTTAGGTCAGCTGGTGAGAGTGGAACTCATCATCCTTGTAGCTGGGACTCGTTTGACTTCATGTAAAGAAAGGCCTTGTAGATACAAGATCTCATTGTAAAACCAATTTTGCCTGATTTCCAGATCTCCTGATTTCCAGGGCTGAGAAAATAAATGTCACAAAATAAAAATATTATATCCAAGAAACTATCAAAAATCATTAGGTAAATATCTTTTGTTTGTTAGGTTTTTTTAAGAAATAAATTAGTATGTTCTAGAAGTGAGAGTGCTGAAACAAAATAAAAATTAATTGTAATAAAATAATCACATCATGTAGAAATCATCATGCCTGCACTTATATTTACAGTTGGTTTTTATAAATGACTAGATCATGTATTCTTTTATGTATATACAGAAGTTCTAAGAAAACAAGTTTGCATTATATAAGGAAAATTTCAAAACAGTAATAAACAAAGATGGCATGAACTGCCTAGGGCAGTGAGTTCCCAGCATGAAAAGTGAAAAAAACTTGCACTTTTAGGGTTATTGTAGAGGAAATTCCTGTGTCTGCAGGGGATGCTGGGCAGTGAACATTCAAGGTCCTTCCCACATAATTCTTACTGTTTAAATTTTTAATGGTACATATTTTGTATTCCATTTATTTTCATCTTAAAATCGAAATAAATAATCTTAAAGGTTGAGTGACATTTAGGGACATTACAACTATAAAAAAGCCAAACCGATTGCCATCAAATCAATTCTGATTCATAGTGACCCTATAGGACAGAGTAGAACTGCCCCATCGAGTTTCCAAGGAGTGCCTGGTGGATTCAAACTGCCCAACTTTTGGTTAGCACCATAGAACTTAACCACTATGCCATCAGGGTTCCCAACAGGAACATTATCAGTAGTTAAATGAGTATTTCTATTCTAAAAATCAGAACATTTTGCAATTATTTATTATGCTTTATTTCATATTGTGTTCAGATATGTAATGAATTTTATTATGTTCACAGTAAAGCTCGTCTTGATTTGCCTCTCTTTAATGATGAGACTTTGGCAAGTTCATAAATTGCATTCTGTTTGGATTTTTTTTTTAACTTCTACTTTAAAACCAGTTTTGTTTCATTGTTTAGTCACATATTGGTAGGAAGAAAGGGAAGTAAGTGTAGGTGGTGAGGAGAGCGGGAGAAAGTCTTTAATAAGGGTCATTTATTTTAAGTGGATAAATGTGTTTGAAGGAGAAATATCCCTGAATTCTATGTATTATAATTTGAGGATATACTGAAATACCCACTCAAATGATTTTTCCCATTCACAATAGTCATAGTCTCACATATTATGAATCTTCACATTTTGTCACAAACCATGCTATTTACTCACCCCTCTCACAGACACTGTGTTATTGAAATGCCTTTTTTATGCATGCTCAAATTCATTCTCCTCCCTTTGCTCCAGAGGTAATCATCACTTTGAAATTTGCATTCTTCATTACTGTGAAGGCTTTAATAATTTTCCACGTACACCGAAACAAACTGTACACATGTGCCTCTAAAAGGTCCCTAGTATGTATTTAAATGTTTTAAATTTAATATGAATGATACTGTATGAATCCCTCTAGAACTTTTTTGACTATTTTGTTTATGAGATTTAGCTACGTTGCTAGGTCTAGTTCTAGTTTATCCATTTATTTCAATCACTACTCCATTGTATGAAAATACCATAATTTACATATACAGTAGTCTGTGGATATATATTTTATGGAACTTGAAAACCTTTTCCAAAATACTTATGGAAGAACAAAGAAGCAAGAATAGCCAACACAGTTCTGTAGCCAATAGCAGTTGTGTAAAAGAAGGAGAAGGTGGGGATATTGGCTATACCAGTCATCAAGATTTATTGCATAGTAATTTAGTGTAATACCGGCGCAAGGGTAGACAAGAAGACCAGTGGAACAGAATAGAGAACTCATGATACCCAGCCTTCCCAGTCAAACTTTGTACTTAATATAGGCCACCTTTAATATTTTTTAAGAGAGTTTATAAATTCTCTCCATAAAGTTTGTGCACAGGTTTTGTTAGATCTATTTCTAGGGATCTAAGAGTATTTTTGCCATTGTGAATGACATCCTTCTTTAAATTAAAACATTAATTTCTGTATTTTGGTCAAACTCTCTTATTAGTTGCCATAGTTTGTAAATTCTCTTAGATTTTTGTTACAAACAATCACATGTGAATAATAACAGGGTTTTTTTTTTCCCTCAGTCCATATACTTTTTTTTTTGTTTTGAACAGTGTTCATTCAGACTTCCAATAAAATGTTAAATGGAGGCAGTGATCAGTGGACATTCTTGTCTTATTTTTGATTACATTGTAAAGTATGTTACTTGTTGCAGATTTTTGGCAGACATCTTTATCACGTTAAGGAAGTTTTATCATTTGCTAAATGTTTCTTTTTTCTTAAGTCGTGAATGTTGAATTTTATTGGATGCTCTGTATGTATCTACTAAGATTATCTTTTTTTTTTTTTTCTCTCCACTAATGATTAAATGCAGGGGATGAGGTACAGGGATAAATCAAGGATGACTCCTAGGTTTTTGACTGGTTCAACTGGGAAATGGTGGTGTCACTGAGGGAGTGGGGTAACTAGGAGAGGAGAGGACTGGTGGAGGTGGAGAGCAACAAATTAAGAGCATCATTGTGTATTACAACTAACCCAGGCTACCCAAGAATTCTTCTAGTTCATTAAATATTTTGCTGTTCTAATTATCTCTAAATTGAGGGCTTTAAAATTTCTGTTTGAAAATAAATTAGTATTCAAAGAAAAAGTAAAACCAACTCAGATTCAATCTGCTAATATGATTGTTTCTACAATATTTAAATTTTATTAGGAATAAACATGACTTACTTATAGAAATTGTATTATCTGTCTTTCTCCTTACTGGTTCTGTTTAAACTGTTCTAGATAAATGTTGAAGACACTTAAGAAAAATATTATTAATTCAATTATTGATGTGCTTACACACAGGGTCACCATGAATCTGAATCGACTTGTCAGCAACCGGTTTTTTGATGTATTGTTTTAGTGGAGAATGGATTTCCTCATCCTACTTGGAATCCAACTAGCAATCCCCTACTTGGATTGCTTCTCCTGGGAGCAATTATGTATACTAGTATAATGTGGGTAACCATTCCATGGAACACGAGAAGAAATAACAAAAAGAAAAGGGTCATATTTACTTTATAACTTTCTAGTTTTCCAAGATACACCTGAAGGTCCTGTTTTGCATAATTATCTCTATTAAACTTTAGTATTATTTAGCATCCTTATTTTAATAAAATATATTATTTTCTATAACACAGTAAGCCCTCTATATCTGCAGATTCCTCATTGGAAGATTCAACCAACCATGGATGGAAAATATTTTTAAAAAGTGTTACATTGTTGCTGACATGTACTATGTAGTTAGGCCAACAATGGTTGCATCTATACTGAACAAGTACAGACATTTTTTTCTTGTCGTTATTCCCTAAACAATGCAGAATAACAACTATTTATATAGCATTTACATTGTATTAGGTATTATAAGTAATCTAGAGATGATTTAAAGTATACAGGAAGATATGCACAGGTACTACGTCATTTTATGTAAGGGACTTGAGCATCCTTGGATTTTGGTATTCGCTGGGGGAAGGGGTTCTTGGAACAAAACCCCAACGGATACTGAGGGACAATTTTTGACTGTATATGTCTGTTCCTCAATTTAAAAAATCAAATTAGTATAAAACTTCACTGTAAAAATTCAGGTTTGTTGCATTCTATTCCTTTCACAATACATTCCCTTTTGAAAGTTTTGTATCCCCAGACTTCAAGGACTGATGATTTGGGAAGATGGCTATGGATATCCCCTGAACATTACCTTGTAGGGCTGGAGGAGTGCTTTTCACGTAAGGCCTGGACTGATGTGACCCTATTGGTTTTTATAGCTTCAGTGAGGATTCCTATTTCTCCTACCACCAGCCCACATTCTAGTTATAGTAGACTGTTTGCCAGTTCCTAAACACGAATGCAGTTATTCCTTCCTTCACCTTTGCTCATATTGTTCCTTTTATCATCCTAAACTCCCCTATTTCCTGCTTTCTCAAACTCATTTATTCTAACAAGCCACATATAAATTACCTCCTCTCTCAAAACTTACCTAACCCTTTCAGGCAGTTTTAATCTTTTCTCCTCGGGCCACCACAGCACCTTATTTGAGAGCGTTAATGCCATTGATCACACCACCTTTTCTCTATTTCCCTCTCCTCCATTGGTTCTGGCAGGGTGGGGAATCTGCTTTCCATAACCTTGATCTCATTGCCTAACGCAATGCCTGACAAGTAAGTAAACGAGCAACAAACTGTGTGGAATGAATGAAATTATATTTACTTTCAGACATGTTTTTTCTCAATTTCTTGCTGATACCTAAATTACTTTATGAGTAGATAAAATTTGCCATTGCACAGCAGAGATTAAAGGCTTACACTGGCAATATTAGCTGCGGCAATATATTGAATAAAACTTATGTAACAGAGTGATGAGTTTATTAGTTAGCAATCCTATGTGATTGAGAGCACCCTCATTCCAGTTTCGACGTAGAGGATGGGATTCTGGCATTTGTAGGTTGAAAAAGGAAAGTGAGGAGGGAGATGAGGATTTCAAGACATAAGAAAAGATAGATAGCATATCCTCTCTCATTGTGGTAATGAGGAAGTCTTAGTGAGTAGTAGGCCATTGGAAAATCATATTATTAGGTGAAGAAGGTCAGGGCTTCTAGCCTGAGGCATTTGAGGTCTGATCCCAGCTTCTTCACTTTGTAAAATTAGAACCAAGGTACTTACCTCTTTGAATTCAATTTTTCCTCATTGTTAAATGAGGGTTAAAATAACAAGTAATTTATGATACTGTTGTGGGGATTAAATGAGATAATGATAAAGTAAATATAAAGTGCACACCCCATTTTCTGGAACATAGTAAGCATTATGTAAATGTTATTAATATTGTTGTTAATATTATTGGAGCCTGGTGGTGTAGTGGTTAAGAGCTTGGCTGCTAACCAAAAGGTTGGCATTTCGAATTCACCAGCTGCTCCTTGGCAACCCTATGGGGCAGTTCTACTCTGTCCTAAACGGCTGCTATGAGTTTTGGGCAATGGGTTTGATTTTGGTTGGTGGAAGAGTTAAACCTCACACTTTCCAGTACTGCTCTGGGGAACATTTAGTTCATATACAAACAGCCATCACAACTATGTTTTTATATGGCACCATTCTCTCCACAAATATTACTGAGTTTCTTTAATGTGCGAGGCATGCTTTTAGGTACTTGGGATACAGCAGCAAATAAAACAGATAAAGATTCATGCCTTGTGTGCCTTGTGGCACTTGTTCTAGCATGTACATTATGAGGTGTGTATGTGTGTATATGTACAGCATAGTGGAAACACTGATTGCCTTTGAACCACACCAAATGTACCAAAAACCCAAATCAAACCCATTGCTGTCAAGTTGATTCCAGTTCATAGTGACCCTATAGGACAGAGTAGAACTGCTCCATACAGTTTCCAACCAGTGGCTCGTGGATCTGCACTGCTGACCTTTTGGTTAACAGCTGAGCTCTTAACCACTGCACCACCAGGACTCCACATCACGTGTACTAAAAACTAATTTAACAATTATCATATTTTAAATAGGGTCACTTTTATTACATTGGACTTCATTCCCAGAGAACTAATTACTAGGGGCTATGACTGTTAAGTCACAAAACAAAAGTGTCAGATATACTGACAACTATATTACAAAGATACTCGTTTAAGTCTTAAATATTTGGGAGGAATGATGAACAGTTATTAAAATAATTGCTTTGTCTAAAACCATGTGATTACATAAACATGGAAATGGTAATCACAATATAAAGGAAAAATCCAATTTTCTATTTAGTCTCTCAGGAAGATTTTATTATTTTGCTGATCAACATTGAGGTACCTTTCTGATACTGACAAAATCCCCTTTTATGTGTCTGTCTTGAAAGCATTTGTTCTCAGATCAGCCAGGCAGCAATGGAATTGTGCTTGGAACAATGACTAGTGTTGCACAGAGCATTTTGCTGTGGTGTTCATTTGTCTTCTTTCCTGTTAAGTTAGCAAATTGCTGCCAAGAGGTGTCAAAGCACCATAGCAATAGTCTGAGGAAGCTTCTATTCACCTGAAAATTCATTAATCACCTTTTCTCTTCAGATCTAGCAAGTATCTTTAGGTGAAATCTATGTGGTTTCTTATGAGCCTTTATTTATTTGGGAAGGATTCTAACGAGGTCACCATGAGTCGGAATGGACTTGATGGCAAGGAATTTGATTTTCGGTATTGGTAGCATTCATTTTAGAATATATAGATATTAAAATACTTTAATTTTTTTTTAAAAAAGCACCTTAAAAAGTCAAAATACTATCTACTTTCTACCATTTATGTTTTAATGGGTATATTTGGTACCCTAGAGAGGACCAAAATCTTTCTTTTCGAATGTTTATGCTTTAGAAGCCCAACAGGGTCTTTTCCATAAAAGCACATTTAAGATGCTATTCCTCATCTTCAGTTGAGGTTAGTGGGCCACAGAATATTAAACTGGGGGCTGTTTTGTTTAGAGACTACAATGTGTTTATTTAAGTTGCTCATATGTTCAACAAATATTTTATGGAAAAGGAAGAGTGGATTCATACATTTATTCACAAAACATTTTTTTAGCGCCCATTCTGTTCAGGGCCTGTGCTAGGTATGGGGTACAAGGTAAGTGAAACATGAAACAAAAGGCAAGATACACACACAAAAGGATACTTTAAAGATTACAGTAGAAAAATTGTATTGATTTAGCTGTCATATTTTGCCTAATTCTTTGTAGTTTTGAGTTCCTAATTTTGCCTTCGGTTGAGGATTTAACAAGTATTCTAAAATTATTTTTTGTTCTCATAATTATTTTAGGAGTACTTCCCCCTTCTGAGTCTTAAGAATGGTGGGTTGTTTTTTTTTTCCTTTTTCTATTGGGGTTTTATATAACATCTGTGATGGAAACCCTGGTGGCATAGTGGTTAAGAGCTATGGCTGCTAACCAAAAGACTGGCAGTTCAAATCCACCAGGCACACTTTGGAAACCCTATGAGGCAGTTCTACTCTATCTTATAGGGTCACTATGAGTGGGAATCAACTCAACAGCAACGGGTTTGGGTTTTTTTTTTGGTGGTGGTGGTGGACTTTTTCTAGATTCTTTTCTTTCATTCTCTTTTCTGAGAAGAAATATACCTAGTTCTTGATTTTATAGAATGCCTCCTATATACTAGGTGCTGTTTTAGGCACTGGGGATACAGAGGGAAAAATCCCTGCCTTTTTGGAGCTTGAGTTCTTGTTGTAGTTGTGCCTCTTGAGCTTATTCTGTGAATTCAGGGAGTGGTAGTGAGATGAGCTGCTAGACAGATGTCATTTGACTCTGAAATCCAACCTGAAAC